GTGGAGCTCCCTATGGGGCTACGAAACGCTGCCCTGGGTGGGGGAACCGCATGCGAACACCCCCACTGGGGCCTTCGGTGGAGCTCCCTATGGGGCTACGAAACGCTGCCCTGGGTGGGGGAACCGCATGCGAACACCCCCACTGGGGCCTTCGGTGGAGCTCCCTATGGGGCCACGAAACGCTGCCCTGGGTGGGGGAACCGCATGCGAACACCCCCACTGGGGCCTTCGGTGGAGCTCCCTATGGGGCCAACGAAACGCTGCCCTGGGTGGGGGAACCGCATGCGAACACCCCCACTGGGGCCTTCGGTGGAGCTCCCTATGGGGCCCCGAAACGCTGCCCTGGGCGGGGGAACCGCATGCGAACACCCCCACTGGGGCCTTCGGTGGAGCTCCCTATGGGGCTACGAAACGCTGCCCTGGGTGGGGGAACCGCATGCGAACACCCCCACTGGGGCCTTCGGTGGAGCTCCCTATGGTGCCACGAAACGCTGCCCTGGGTGGGGGAACCGCATGCGAACACCCCCACTGGGGCCTTCGGTGGAGCTCCCTATGGGGCTACGAAACGCTGCCCTGGTGGGGGGAACCGCATGCGAACACCCCCACTGGGGCCTTCGGTGGAGCTCCCTATGGGGCCACGAAACGCTGCCCTGGGTGGGGGAACCGCATGTGGACACCCCCACTGTGGCCTTCGGTGGAGCTCCCTATGGGGCCACGAAGCGCTGCCCTGGGTGGGGGAACCGCATGTGGACACCCCCACTGGGGCCTTCGGTGGAGCTCCCTATGGGCTACGAAACGCGTGAGAGGTGTGCCGAGAGCAGAGGCAAGGAGGGGGAGGAGGGAGGAGGGGGAAGAGGAGGAGAGGAGAGGACGCGGGCACCGTCTCTTCAAAACGAGGACCCAACACCACAGGATGGCTGGGAAAAAAAAAAAAAAAAACAATTAGCCTGGCGAAGGACCCAACCATATGCAACTGTGAATACCGCAAGTGTGAATATCGTTTTCGGCGGCGCTACCTCTGGGTAGTGGAGACGCATGCGAAAACCCCCCACTGGGGCCTTCGGTGGAGCTCCCTATGGGGCTACGAAACGCTGCCCTGGGTGGGGGAACCGCATGCGAACACCCCCACTGGGGCCTTCGGTGGAGCTCCCTATGGGGCCACGAAACGCTGCCCTGGGTGGGGGAACCGCATGCGAACACCCCCACTGGTGCCTTCGGTGGAGCTCCCTATGGGGCTACGAAACGCTGCCCTGGGTGGGGGAACCGCATGCGAACACCCCCACTGGGGCCTTCGGTGGAGCTCCCTATGGGGCCACGAAACGCTGCCCTGGGTGGGGGAACCGCATGCGAACACCCCCACTGGGGCCTTGGGTGGAGCCCCCTATGGGGCTACGAAACGCTGCCCTGGGTGGGGGAACCGCATGCGAACACCCCCACTGGGGCCTTCGGTGGAGCTCCCTATGGGGCCACGAAACGCTGCCCTGTGTGGGGGAACCGCATGCGAACACCCCCACTGGGGCCTTCGGTGGAGCTCCCTATGGGGCTACGAAACGCTGCCCTGGGTGGGGGAACCGCATGCGAACACCCCCACTGGGGCCTTCGGTGGAGCTCCCTATTGGTGCCACGAAACGCTGCCGCTGGGTGGGGAACCGCATGCGGGCACCCCCACTGGGGCCTTCGGTGGAGCTCCCTCTGGGGCTACGAAACGCTGCCCTGGGTGGGGGAACGCATGAGGGCAGCCCCACTGGGGCCTACGGTGGAGCTCCCTCTGGGGCTACGAAACGCTGCCCTGGGTGGGGGAACCGCATGTGGACACCCCCACTGGGGCCTTCGGTGGAGCTCCCTATGGGGCTACGAAACGCTGCCATGGGTGGGGGAACCGCATGTGGACACCCCCACTGGGGCCTACGGTGGAGCTCCCTATGGGGCTACGAAACGCTGCCCTGGGTGGGGGAACCGCATGTGGACACCCCCACTGGGGCCTTCGGTGGAGTTCCCTCTGGGGCCACGAAACGCTGCCCTGGGTGGGGGAACCGCATGTGGACACCCCACTGGGGCCTTCGGTGGAGCTCCCTCTGGGGCTACGAAACGCTGCCCTGGGTGGGGGAACCGCATGTGGACACCCCCACTGGGGCCTTCGGTGGAGCTCCCTATGGGGCCACGAAAGCGCTGCCCTGGGTGGGGGAACCGCATGTGGACACCCCCACTGGGCCTTCGGTGGAGCTCCCTATGGGGCCACGAAACGCTGCCCCGCATGTGGTGGGGCCTTCGGTGGGAGCTCCCTATGGGGCCGCAACCGCATGTGGAACCCCCACTGGGGCCTTCGGTGGAGCTCCCTATGGGGCCACGAAACGCTGCCCTGGGTGGGGGAACCGCATGTGGACACCCCCACTGGGGCCTTCGGTGGAGCTCCCTATGGGGCTACGAAACGCGTGAGAGGTGTGCCGAGAGCAGAGGCAAGGAGGGGGAGGAGGGAGGAGGGGGAAGAGGAGGAGAGGAGAGGAGAGGACGCGGGCACCGTCTCTTCAAAACGAGGACCCAACACCACAGGATGGTTGGGAAAAAATATCCTAAATGGGGCCCTTCAGGGCCCCTGCCGCCTCCCAAGAGGGCCCCAAAGAGCCCCTTTCAGGGCCCTTATTTCTTCACCCCCCATCCAGGCCGCCTCCCATTACCACCCGCCCGAGTCCTAGACCTTCGACTTGGTTCCGGGCAAAGGGGGCCCTTCGCAGTGGGGTCGCAAAAAGACATGCTATAGGTCACCCTGTGGCTCATGGCGCGTGGCCGCTCTCTCGGACCAACGATGCCAAACGCAACGCGTTTTGTCCGCATATCTGGCTCGATCCAGTACGGACGATTGCACGAACTGTTGGAACTGTTGCGCGCATTTTTGAGATCCCCGTTGCAAAGGATTGGCGGCGAGCGCGGAGAGAAAATGAGAAGGAGAAGACCTTCTTAGAAGGCGGCGGGACTTCTCTGAAGCCCTCGCGCCTTCTGAGAAGTGTTCTGCAACTTCGGGGAAGGCTTAGGAAACGCTTCAGAAGGCCAGGTGACTTCTGAGCCTCCTGAGAAGGCCCGCCCCTTCTCACTTCCCCCCCCTCGCTCGTCACCGAAAGGACCCATCCGCCCGAATCTGACCGACGCCGTGATTCTTTCATAGTGCGGACCCCCAGCGGTCTGGACCAGTTCCCCGGGACCTGCATCTCCTCCTGAGCCGTTCTCTGACGGCCCCGGGACGGGCTCCCGGAGCCCGAATTTCGCCCAGAACTCCCCGTCGTGCTTTTTTTCACGATGCTGACCCCTGGACAGCTAGACCACTTCTCTAGGACCGCCTTTTCAGCCTGGGTGGCTCCTTGATGCCCCCGGGGCCCGGCAGAGGACGGATGCCGAACATGGGCAAACGCCGCCCGCCGTGCCTTTTCACGATGCTCGGACACGAAGCAGCTACAAACGCACAAACGTTCGGAGCGCTGCGCGGATTTCTGCGATCGGCGCTGGGCCCCCCTCCAGGGTCGGCGCTGGAGGCGCCGCCGGGGCCGGTCCAACAAAAATCGCGCGGAGCTCTGACAGTTCTGGCTTATGCGAATGTTCTTCTTCCAGTGACTTCCCGAGACCCCCGACGCCATGATTTTTCATAACGTCGACCCCACAGGTTTTTCGACCCCTTCCCCAAGGCCGGTGTTTCATTCTGAGTCGTCCTTGGACGGTCCCGAGGCCCGGTGAGGGCCCCTACAGTTAGGTCGGGCATGTCCCCCTACAGGCGGATTCTGGGCGAAGAATTAGAAATAGTCAAAACATGTTCCAAGCATGCTCAAACATACCAACACAAATTGTCCCCATACTATTTTTTGACTATCTCTAAATCTTCCCCTGTAGAAGGACACGCCCGGCTTAACCCTACAGTGCGGGCGCGGCCGCAAGAAACCCTCGCAAGACACCCAACCCTGAGAACCCGTGCGCGAGGCGCACCTGAGGGGAAACACGGAGCACCCTGAACGCAGCAGCTCCTTCAACGGCTGCGGGAAGTCACCGCGCAGCGCGAGGAGCGAAGAAGCCCAGGATACCCTGACGAAAAGCATATGGTTTCTTGATGCGCGCCCCCACTGTACAGGCAAATCCGCTCATAATCGGTCCCTGGACCCCTCCTGGGGTCCAGCTGGTGCAGTTTTTCACCCCCGATTCGTTTTTGGCGGCAATGGGGCCTGAAAGCGGCCCCCAGAGGCTGTGAAAGGCAACGAAAACTGAACGAGCCCGAACTGCGGACCTGGCCCCCCCGCCCTGCTCGCCGGGACAGTTTCTTGAGGCGCGCCCCCACTGCACAGGGAGGCCGACGGTCGCGAGAAGCCGTCCACCGCTCTGCCTTCGCAGCGCGACGGGGGCCCCGCGGCGCGCGACGAGGAGGCCCGCGGTGGGTCGGCGGGTCGACCGCCCCGCCCCGCGCTCGGGGGGGGGGGGAGCGTAGGAGAGCCCAGGGTCGGATCGAGGAGGAGGAGGAGGAGGTGGAGGAGGAGGAGGGGAGGAGGAGGAGGAGGAGGATGGGGGGGAGGGGAGGAGGAAGGAGGGGGGAGGAGGAGGAGGAGGAGGAGGAGGAGGACACGTCGGATCGGCGATCGGGAGGAATCGGATCGGCAGAGCGCGGCAGCCGAGTCGGCAGAAGTCGCAGCGGCGGAACTGGGCAGGCCAGCAGGCCTCCCCTGAGAGCCTGGCGCTGCAGCTTTGTCGCAGCGGGCGTCTTCTCCCAGCTTCGGGCCCCAGGACCCTCACAGATGATTGATGCGGCTCGACAACTGCAGCAGAAAGATTGGGTCGGGGGCTCTCCTGCGGTGATGTTTCGCGCGATGTTGCATCTCTTTTTGCAGCGTCGGATCACAGGGTCCAGTGGGACATCGGAATCCGACATGGGAATCCCACAAGGCGAACCGGATCGGGATCGGAAGCCGTCGGGGTCGGATCGCATCGACTCGGGGGAGCCGAAGCGAACCCTGGCGGGGGGGGGGCGCCTCGCGGCGCACGAGGGCCTGGCCGTTCTCGTCCAGGCTGTTCCACAGCCGCTCCAGGCTCTTCTCCTCGGCGCGCACGGCCGCCGCCGCTGGAGGCCGCCCCACGGCTGGAGCCTCTCCTCTCGCGCCGGCGCGAGCGTGGGCTTCCCAGACGTGCTCGCGCCGCGAGAAGGACTCACGTCGGGACGGCTTGAGCCTGGGTGTTGTTAGACTCTGGCAGGTTTGCTTGCATGGCGTTCGCCCCCCCCCCCCCCTCCTCTCCCTCTCCCCCTCGCCCCTCGTCACATGTATACTGGCGTGCTGCTGGCTGCCGGTGCCTCTCGACTTGCGTGCTTGCCGCACGTGCGGAGCGTTTGCGGCTTGCTTCACGTTCAGCCCCCCCCCTCCCCGTCCATGCAAGTAACATTGCCGGAGGCTGAAGAAACACGCTCAATTTTGGGGCCAAATTCCCGCCTCCGGGGGCCCGCACCGTCCAGAAAGAAGGCTCGGGATGATGAACACCCGGCCGTGGGGCAAGGGGTCGGGACTTCCGTGGGCCTATACACACGGACAAAGAATCCAGGCATCTGGTCTGGCCAGGTTCCCATCCAAAGACCGGATGCTGTGGCTCTTGTCCACGGAGGGGTCCCTGAAGGTCTCGTCCCCTTCCTTATAGGACCGTCTCCCCGTCCTGCATCCCTTGGTTGGCTGTCCCGGGGCCCGGCGAGGGCCCCCCGGGCGGCCGAGCACCACGACGAGCCTCCGCCTTGAATGCTTCAGCTCCTTATAGGAGGCCTGGGCAGAGGCCCCCCAGGGGCCGAACACTGCGAAAAACCTCCGCATCGAATTTTCCAAGACTCGGCGGTGGACAAACCTCCCTTTAGTAGACCTCCCCTTAGTGAAAACGGCCTGGGACCGCAACCGACGGACCTGGGCCCGCAAAAACGACGGCCGCGACGCCCCCTCGCGAACCGACAAACACGGCCAATTCCCTGACCGACGCGTCAGGGTAGGAGGCCTGTCCACCCCCGAAACACGTTGGAGGCCTGGGTATACAGTCCTTTTCGTTGGGGAGGGGCTCCGCGTTCCTTAAGTGTTTCGCAGCTTGCCTCAGGTTTTCCTTATGCTTTCGATCGGAAATCGAAGTTTACCGTATGGAAAAAAAGGCGCCTCGTTCCTTACTTCGGGTTCCTGAGGTCAGCGCCCCGACTGTACACCTTCAGAGTCGCCCCGCTTCGCGCCTCGCGCCTCGCGCGTGGGCGCAACGCGTGGCTCTCGCGCCTCGCGCCCTTTCGCCTCGCGGCGGCCCCCTGTGGGCCCCGGCCGCGGGGCGGCGCGGCGCGAGGCGGCGCGCTCGCTTCCTCGGGCCCCCCCGTGGGGTGGCGACCCCTGGACTCCGGACGCGGCGACCTCTCTCGACCCCCAGACATGCAGCATCCTGCTCCTCCTCCTCCTCCTCCTCCTCCTCCTCCTCCTCCCTCCTTCTCCTCCTCCTCCTCCTTCTCCTCCTCCTCCTCCTCTTCTCCTCCTCCTCCTCCTCCTCCTCCTCCTCCTCCTCCTCTCTGGGTGGCGGCCTGGGCTGCCGACGCTACGACCCCCGCCCTCTGCGAACCCCCAGACACGCAGCATCCCTCCTGGACACCCCCTCGCGCTGCGACAAACATCACGACGGGATTTTTTTCGCTATCTTCGGCCTCCAAGGGCCCTCGCCAGGTCTCGGGAACGTAACAAAAATGACTCTCGGGACGGAAAACGGGCCCCTGGGAAGGGTACCAGACTTCTGAGGGTCACGCCGTGAAAAAATCATGACGTCGGGGGTCTGGGGTAAGGACGGAGGATTGTCTCAATTGTTGGCCTCTGGGCGCTCTTGCCGGGCCCCAGCGCCGTCAAAGAACGGCCCGGGATGAAACGCTGGCCCCAGGAAAGGGTGGTCCTGACCCTTTCCCGAGGGTCGGCTTTGCATCTGAAATTGTTTCGTTGACGGTCCCGCAGGGCCTGGCGAGGGCCCCTAGGGAGGCCGGAAACGGCCAAAAATCTTCTGTCGTGATTCATGCTACGACGCGGGCAAGTCTGGGGACATCGCACGTCCATGAGAGCCCAGGATCGAATCAATGAGTCGGATCGGCGATCGGCATGCATCGAACTGGCGGAAAGCGGCAGGCGAATTGGCAGGCCTCCAGTGAGAGATCGGAGGCCAGATCGGAATCCGAAGTCGAATTTAGGGAAATCAGAAGGTACGGATGCCGCTGCTCCCCGGACCTCTCCCAGGGCGTGTTCTGCCCAGGACTCTCGAGGCGAATCCAACGGCGGCGACGAGAACCTCCCAGGAGGGCGAGAAGCAGGGGACAACGGGCGCAGGCCGAGAGAAGCCGACGCGGAGAAGATCGCATCGAAGCTGGAAGCCGCCGAGGTCGAATCGAAACCGAGGCGGGGGTTGTGCTGCTCCCGTCGTGCTTCAAGACCACATCCCACAAAGAGCATCGAGCACCCGGACAGGTCTCGACAGAGCGTCGAAGCAGTG